ATCTAAAATCACTTCTCAGGAAATCTCTCTAATGAAAATGAGAAGGCCATAGGCACGTACCTGAAATCAATGAGAATATATTGGAGAACTCAACGAGAGTAGCTCGTTTAGTCAGTGATGAAGCGTTCAAAATCTTAAAAGAAAGAGAAGATCAAGAAACTTTTAGAAGATCATTTTTGAGCTCACATTCTCTATGGCCAAACTCGCTCTATTTTGTACAGCACAACACGAGTTCTTATCAAGTAAAAGGCGGCAAATCACAAAAATAAGTATCGATCGATCCACTGGTGATTGAGAACGTAAATCGCAAACAGCCAATAAGTCGAGCACCCGACAAAGCTAAAGATAGATTCTAGTGCTTCCTAAAACAGAGAAGCAAATTGTAACTCAAACCTGGAAAACAGCTAACTCAGCTCGGTCACTATCAAGTACAAGAGGTAATCTGCTCTGTTCTAACCGTTCACGAATGTAACGTTCAGCATCGGGAAATATTTCTCCTCCTGGCACAACATCACTGACTCTGCATTGGGCTGCATGACAAAGCCAAGCTAGACACTAGAAAGAAAACCATACAGCCCTGAGAGAATAAAAGTGTTAAGAGAAACTAACAACATGCATAGCAGGGCCTACTCCGCTAAGTTCTGAAGTATTCCGTCTTGCTTTAACAACATTCTTCAAAATTCTTCCGTACAGATCTAAATAGAAGTTTTGTAACGTACAGCGAACTTTTGGAAAGAAGGGTTTAAGCACCTTGCATGGCATAACTTCTAGAACCCATTAATACCAAATCCATAGAACATACACAACCGGTCAAAAGAGTTCGATCTTCAGCGCATGTCAAAGCATGATCTTAAGTTCACCAATTGAAGCAATGCTTCATCATATCAACAGCATTAACATAAGTTACTCACGGTGAGAGGTAGTACAAAATATCGACAGCATCTCCCTATCTCCATTGACTGTAACTTTGTCATTTGATATCGTCCTAAATGCATCACTTGCCATAAATTCTCTGGCGCATTTGATGGTTCTTTTGAGATTTTTAAACTCAGCTGGCGAGTTTCGTTCTGAGGTCCTGAAAAGAGACTGGAAGTGAGCAAATTATAATTGATTTACACTGACATATGATCTCGTATAATAATCATATGCGACGAGATAGAGACAACAATTTGAAGAAACGTCTTTGATTATGATTCTTACTCTGATATACAAGAAGAGGAAAATAAGGAGTAAAAAGTCAGTTGGCCGAAATACTGTTCTCGGACTTTGGACATAATGCCATTTAGATTAGAATTTTGGTGGGCTCCACGTACCCCGGGCGAGAGTCATCCAAAGCATTCAATGCATAGCTGTCCCTGCTGTCCTCGAACAAT